TTGGATCTTTCATGTCAACTTACAAACCATGAACCTTGCACCAAACAGTCCGGACTCTACAACCAATGAGTAATATACTTATTCTAACGAGTGCTGTCAGTGATTTCCATGATTTCTATAGATTTTGTGTACCTGCAAGTTTTTGCCACTGGGGAACTTGTTCTGCAAATTCTTTGGATTTAGTTTGACAATTAGGCATTGTTCATGGTTTTCACATGCATCTAAATACTGTTGCTTATTAGAAAATTATGTAGCATTTATTTCATTTCCCTTTTCTTGAATTGGAGTTCTGAAGTAATTCTTACACGTACAGGTTTGCTTGACAATGTTCTGAGCGATTACCTGTGGGCAAAGGCCATTCTCTTGACTACAACCACAGTGGCAACAGCAGGTCTCACTATTCAGGTCCCAATAGCTGCTGTTGTGGATTCGCTTACAGGCCATGCTCCTCATTTATTAGATTGTATTGGAGCTGCTGCTGTCATGGCAGGTTTTGTTGGGATCAACATTCCTTCGGAGGCTCTCGCTAAATCTGAAGTAGATATGCAAGAGCAAGAAGTAGATGGACCAATTAATATTTCTTAGTGCAACCTTGATAATCTGGTATTACTTATATTATTCTTTAGAAAATATAAATTGTAATTTATATTGTTCAACAAACTTTTCTATCGTTCATGATGGTAGACGTGCTTTGCTTGCTGGATTTGGCAGGCTTCTGTATTCTTAATGGTTATCTGCAAGTCATGCTGTTGCATACTCATGATTATTCATGTATATTCTATATTGTGGGTGTACGAGTAAAATTGTATATGTTGTTGCAGTTGTAATTATGATTTCTTCTAAAAATTTCTTTAAATCATCAAGTAATTGTTCTATAGCTTGAAAGCTCTTTCACAAAGTCAATACGCAACATTTAAAGCATTAATATTTCAGACGCGTGTAATGTGTGGTGTAGATACCCTCTTTATCTGAAATATTTATGCATGATGTTCGTAATATCCAAGAGTTTTTAATTCGAGATCCTGTGGCCAATACTAGCTATGACAAATCTTTAGAATGAGCTTAAAAGCTTTATGTTTTCATTTGGCCTGTTAAAAAAAGGTAATAATATTGTGCACGCTGTGAGTTACTACTACTTTTGGTCAGTGACTTACGGCAAGGTTATCAACTGTCTAGGTTTTTTAAGTTTCTGATTCAAGAACCTTCCAAACATTGAATACAACGGCATGACTATATTTCTTAGGTGTTCATACGAATAGATATATCCATGCATCGCCCATCATCAACTAAAAATTATTGGGTCAGAGTATTAAGAAGATGACCTTAGGCATTTCTGTAATAGACCTAGGCCAACATCTTGCACACAGTGACATAATTTCTTAGTTGCTACAGAATTGTGATGTTGGCGTCCTTGAATGCCTTAAAGTGCCATTGGGCTGTTCAAGAAATGCTCTAAAGTCTCCAATTGCTTGATACACCAAGAAATCTAAGCATTTGAATTTTCCTGGTAACATCTTGTATGACCTTTTTGAACGCTTTGAAGGGTATTTAGTGTTCAGTCCGAAGTACTTTTGGAAATAGCAAAGTTAGAATACTCTGTGTTTGTTTTACTTAATAGGATTGACCGATAGAGGTGACTCTTAAACATTCTTGTCAGCATGGGATTGTAAATTATTTATTTGATTTCTTAAAACTTCATGATGTAAATTCTTCATTTAAAAATGTTGTTTCTATTTTTTTGTCCACATTTCTCAATATCCTATTTGTTGCAATTAGTTCCTTAGTTTAAAATTTCAACAAATTATATAGGGATATGCATAGCACGTAGGATCCGTAAATCTTAACTTTGTTAGTTTCAAGTAAATATGGACAATATTCCTTTGGACAAAATAAAATAATACTGCGTTTGCCGGGAGTCGAACCCGGGTCTATTGCTTGGAAGGCAATTATCCTAACCGTTGGACTACAAACGCTTGTTACTTACAGTCAAATACATCCAATATTGGATGAAAACAGACCGGAATTTATGATGGTTAGGTATCTATCTTAAGTTTGTGTGCTGACACATTCTCTTTATTGTTTGCTGGATCTGGATCTTAAGTAGGTGTAATTGTTTGGAAAATACTTCTAATTTTGGTAAAGAGAAGCCCATATTGTCAGCTGATATATCTTGAATAATTAAGTCCTTAATATTTGCTCAATCGCCTTAATCACGCATTTCATTGATATTTAGACTGGCTAGCAGTCAATATATCCTTCTTCCTTTTTCTTTAACAGAAGATAGTAAAACTATGTGGCCATGGGACTAAGCCATCATGTATCTTCATTCTTCACTCACCAAGAATAGAAGATACCATCCAAACTAGAAAAGTATTGACAGTCATTCAGAGGTTGAAGATGATAGGTTGAGGAGTAAGATGAAAAGTTGTTGAAAGCCACTTACTTTGAGCATAAACATGTTCGCCTGTGTTTTGCTTTCATTTAGCGCTGCATAGAAACAAAGGATTGAAGTATGATCTTTTTCTAAATGTTGAATCTGCCAGGTATTGATCCTACGAAATGGTTCATTAACTGTCTAGATTCGCATAAGTATATATGAAGAGCTATATGGTCTAGCATGCAGATAAATGAATGGATTTCTGTTTGGTTGCAGGGTAGCCATAGTAAATCACACACCTTTTCTATTGATCCTGATTCATCTATATCTGTCTCATGTACATTGAGGTCGTTGATGACAGGTTTAGTGATCTGTCAGTGCTTCCTACAATATACTAAACAGAATCGTTCAGAAATGCTTGGATTTTCATTTAACATTAGATGTTCAAATGAAAATTTTCTTACGGAAATATTTCTGACTCTAAACTTCCTGCTGCCATAGAAGTTCCAGCCTGCGGTCAAATGGAAGTTGTGCCTTTCACCTCAGAAATGTAAGCATTTTCTCTTCGTATGCCCTCATATTGTGGATATTTGACAAAATTTAGCCAATGACCAGGAATAGAAATATTTTTTTCCTCAAAATATTCTGTAATTACCAAGCAACAATGGATGAAACAACCAAGCTGGTTGAGAATGAAATAATTGTTAGCGTCGGGTGTAGACACAAACCGTCAGGCGAGCTTGAGGCAACATCAGACGAGGTCAGGCGAGGACAGGCGAGCTCAAGACGAGCTTCAGGCGAGGTCGACGGCGAGCTCGAGGCAAGCTTCAGGTGAGGTCGAGTGGGCGAGATGTAGGCGAGTGCAGGCGAGACAGCCTGTCGCCAGGCTGTCGCTAGGGTTCCCTTATAAAAGGGAACCCAGAGCTCTCTCTCTCTCTCTCTCTCTCTCTCCTTCTCGCGTTTTCACCCCCTAGCGGCACCCCCCTTCTCTTCTTCTCTGCTCTTTTTCTCCAATCACGTTGATTTTTGAGGGAGGAATTAAGAAGGGGGGATTTAAAGAAGAGGGGATTTAAGGAGGGGAATTAAAAAGGAATTGTTCATTGTAGCTATAGTAACAATTTGCATTTATTGAGGGATCTCAAACTTGAGTTCTGCTGTTGCATTGTTATTTCTTTGATTAATAAGAAATTAATTTTGTGGTTCCTGAGGACGTAGGCAAGTTTGCCAAATCTCGTTAAATCTTGGTGTACTTTTCTTTACTACGTTTTCTTGCTGTTTTAAGGGTTTAGCGTAGCTCCTATTATTTCCCAATAACTAGTATCAGAGCTTGAAATGATCTAGAGGAAGTCAGATTCAAGTGGGAACAGATGAAGGAAATGTGAGATTAGAGAAGTTTGATAGAATAGATTTTGGATTTTGGAAGATGCAGATAGAGGATTATCTGTACCAAAAAATCTATATCAACCCCTTTCAGGGAAGAAGCCAGAGTCTATGAAGGAAGATGAGTGGAACCTTCTAGACAGACAAGCCCTCGGAGTTATCAGATTGACACTAACTCGTAATATTACGTTCAACATAGCGAAGGAAAAGACCATGGCGGGTCTTATAGCAACACTCTCAAATATGTATGAGAAGCCATTAGCCATAAATAAAGTTTATTTGATGAAGCGGTTATTCAATCTGAGAGTGGCGGAATGTACGTCAGTAACACAACACCTCAATGAACTCAACATGTTCACAACCCAATTGAGTTCAGCTAAAATTGAGTTTGATGAGGAAGTTCGAGTGTTGATCCTTTTGTCTTCCCTACCAGAAAGCTGGAACGCTACAGTCACGGCTGTGAGTAGTTCATCGGGAAGCAACAAGTTGAAGTTTGATGACGTTCATGTTTTGGTTCTCAGTGAGGAGATCCGACAGAGGGAGTCAGGTGAAGCTACAACATCTTCAATATTGCATATAGAGTCAAGAGGTAGAAATTCAATCAGAGGGAACGGACGAGACAAATTAAACTACAGAGATAGATCAAAGAACAGGAGGTCCAAGTTAAGGAATCTAACCAATAGCTCGAAGACTATCGAGTGTTGGAATTGTGGAAAGACCGGGCACTACAAGAATCAGTGCAGGAGTGCACAGAAGGAGAAGGAGGCGAAGGCAGAGGTGAATGTCACTTTCACTTCAGGAGGAGACGACGCATTGATATGCTCTATGGAGAGCAAGGAAGAGTCTTGGGTGTTAGACTCTGGAGCGTCGTTCCATGTTACTTCTCAGAAAGAATTCTTCGAGAGGTATGTCCCCGAAAATCTCGGATATGTATACATTGGTGATGATCAACCGTGTGCTATTGTGGGCAAAGGTATAGTAAAAATTTAGTTGAACGGGTCAGTATGGGAGCTAAAGGACGTCAGACATATTCCCGACCTGAGAAAAAACTTAATATCCGTAGGCTAGTTGGCTGGTGAAGGATACACTACGATTTTCCATGAAGATGATTGGAAGATCTCAAAGGGTGCAATAACGATTGCCCGAGGTAAGAAGACTTGTACCCTATATATGATAGCAGGTGCACGCTGTTTGATTTCAGTTGCAGCAGGCAATGAGACTTTAAATTTATAACACTAGAGACTCGATCATATGAGTGAGAAGGGGATGAAGATCATGCACATAAAGGGAAAACTCCCAGGTCTAGAATCAGTGGAGATAGACATGTGTGAAGATTGCATACTTGGAAAGTAGAAGAGAGTTAGATTTCAGACAAGTGGCAGAACCCTAAAGAAGGAGAAGCTAGAGCTCGTTCACTCAAATGTGTGGGAACCAACTACCACCTCATCTATTGGTGGGAAACACTACTTCGTAATTTTTATTGATGATCACTCTCGAAAAGTGTGGGTATACTTTCTGAAGTATAAATCAGAAGTGTTTGAAGCTTTCAGGAGATGGAAAGCTATGATCGAGAATGAGACAGGTCTGAGAATAAAGAATCTTAGAATCAATAATGATGGTGAGTATGAAGATACCATATTTAAGAAGTTCTGCTATGAGCACGTGATTAGTGTAGAATCTGAAATAGATACACTAGAACACTAGAAAGGGGGTGAATAGTGTTCTTTTAAAATATATGCAAAGTAGATTATAAATTGTAAAGAAAAATGGCAATCTCAGAAATTCACAATCACAAACACAAAGTTTTATACTGGTTCCACCAACCCGGTGTACATACAGTCCCCAAGCAAATCCCGCTTGAGAGTTTTCACTATGATTTTGAATAAACTTACAAAATCAAAAGCAAACATGTCCAATTTGCAAGTCCCTGCAAATTGCAACACCAATTGACAAGACCATGCCAATTGCCACCCAATCTCTAAACCAAGAGATCAACCCTCTCAAACCCGAGAGAAATCCTTTTTGAAGCAAGAACACAATTGATCCTATAAGCCTTGAATGTGTAGTGAAGTG